GGGCCACAGCCCTCCACCCACCAGACACTGTGAGCGACGCTCAGGGGCACCTCCAGGAGGCCCCAGGCCCTTCACCGGAAACGCGGGCGACCAGGGCCTCCCGCCCACCAGCCGCCTCGATCGGCTGAATAAAATCAAACAGTACAGCCGGCCCTCGGGTGACGGCGGACCCGTTCCCACGGCGACGTAATTCGCTGTAAGTCGGACCCCACCTACATAAGCACCGACGTCACCCACGTGGAGCACACACTCAGCAGTCATGACGGGAAACAGTAAAAAAAATTAAAAGAAAGAGAACAACTCCTGAACTTTGCTTGTGGTAAATAAATAATAAAAAACACAAAGCGCAGATGTACACACGTCGAAACGACGGGACTTTTTTTAAAAAAAATAAACGGGAGACGGCGACGTAACCACGAACCGAACGCGAGGACGGTCTGTAACATTCAAAGTCCCGTGAACGTTCAATAAATAAGTAATAAAAAACACGTCGAAACGACGGAACTTTTTTTAAAAAAAATAAATAAACGGGAGACGGCAACGTAACCACGAACCGAACTCGAGGACGGTCTGTAACATTCAAAGTCCCGTGAACGTTACTCGAAACACAAACGTCGGGGGTCGCAGGCCCGTGCGTGGCAGGGAGTTCTCGCCCGGCCAGCGGGGCTCAGGGCTGAGCATCGACCTGTGAACCCGGAGGTCACGGTTCGACCCCCGGGCAGGGCACAGGCCCTGGTTGCGGGTTCGATCCCCAGTGAGGGGTGTGCAGGAGGCAGCCAATCCATGGTTCTCTCTCATCACTGATGTTTCTATCCCCCTCTCCCTTCCTCCCTGAAATCAATAAAACATATATATAGATTTTTTAAAAGTTCTGGACCCGACATTTAAAGAACCAATACGAACCCTCCTCCACCGTTCCCGACACGAGGAGGAGAGAACACACTCACTCCCTAGGAGGCCAGCAGGTCCTGGCACCAAAGCCCGACGGAAACACAGGAGAACTGCAGACCCACCCTGTGCACACGGACACCAGGCCCCACGGGACCAGCCGCGCGGGGGGGTCACACGCTAACCGAGGGGTCACACACACAGGAGAGGGTCGCACGCTCACCGAGGGGGCGGCTCCCGAAAGGCGGCCGAGGCACGAGTGGCAGACGTCACATTCCACGCTCACGGGCACAGGAAAAACCACACGATCATGTCAACTGTATGAAACGCATCCGACGACACTGAAAACCCTTTCGCGGTAAAAACACCCAACAAACTAGAGACAGGAGGTGCCGCCGGCGTTTTCCCCGCACGTGACCCAGCTCTGTCCTGACACTGTCCCCCTGTCCCCCCCCCAGCCCCGGCCAACGTCAGACGCCAGTCCAGGTCGCCCCTGTGCTTCGGACCCACCAGCCGTCAGCCAGAGGTTCCCACAACCCCCTCCAGCAGCGGTTCTCAACCTCTGGCCCTTTAAATACAGCTCCTCATGTTGTGACCCAACCATAACATTGTTTTCGTTGCTACTTCATAACTGTCATGTTGCTCCTGTTATGAATCGTCATGTAAATATCGGATATGCAGGATGGTCTTAGGCGACCCCTGTGAAAGGGTCATTGGACCGCCAAAGGGGTCTCGACCCACAGGTTGAGAACCGCTGCCCTCCAGGCTCCAATCTTCCGCTCAGAACTCAGAGAAACGTTCCGCAGATGGGACCACCGGTGGATCACAAACAGACACAGCTCTGGGCCGCCCGCTAGCAGCGCACGGGGCCGGCGTGGGGAAAGGGCGCAGGGCTCCCGCGCACCACTCGCCCATCTCCACTCACCCATCTCCACGCCCATCTCCTCGCCAGAGTGACGGATTAAACCCTGGTCACTAGATGACTCCTCTTCCGGCCCCTCCCCTCCCACCTCTCCCCTCAGGGGAGGGAAGGGACTGAGGGCTCCACCTTTGTTCACTAGGACTGGGTGTGAGCAGCTACCCCGAGGCCATCCAGACACCGAGGACACTAGGAGGTGAGTCCCAGAACCAGGGACAGGACAGCCCATCACTCATTGTTGTTGTTTTGTTTTGTGGGCCGGGCAGCATGTTTACGATGCCACAGGGAGGGGAGGTACCGCAGTAGAACGACAGCTGCCTGTGAATAACCCACAGCAAACACATCGAGGGCGAAAGGTTTCAGCTTCTCCTCTCGGATCCGGGACGAGAGGGAGACGCCGCTCTCACCACTGGGCACGCCAGCCGAGCAGCCGGACAAGGAAACCAACAGAAGGGATCCAGGCTGCAAAAGGGTAAAATGGACACAGGGGACACTCCGAGGACACTAGGAGCTGAGTCCCAGAACCAGGGACAGGACAGCCCGTCTTTCATGGTTGTTGTTTTGTTTTGTGGGCCGGGCAGGATGTTTACGATGCCACAGGGAGGGGAGGTACCGCAGTAGAACGACAGCTGCCTGTGAATAACCCACAGCAAACACATCGACGGCGAAAGGTTTCAGCTTCTCTCGGATCCGGGACGAGAGGGAGACGCCGCTCTCACCACTTCTACTCAACACGCCCTGGGCACGCCAGCCGAGCAGCCGGACAAGGAAACAAACAAGGGATCCAGGCTGCAAAAGGGTAAAATGGACACAGGAAACCCCAATGACTTCACACAAAAGGTGTTCCCAGAAACTCAGCAACAAATTCAGCAAAAACCCGGAGGACACAGTCAACAGAACCAGTGACATTCCGATGCCGGGCAGCAAACCACCCAAAAAGGAAATGAGTAAATCTGTGCCACTGACAACAGCAGGAAAAAAAGAGCAAGAGACTTAAAAATAAACCTGAGAGGAGACGGAGACCTGGACAAGGAGACCTGGACAAGGAGCCCCGGCGGCGCGGCTCCGTGGTCACACGTCAGCCTGCGGGCTGAGAGGCCGCGGGTTCAACTCCGGTCCAGGGCACGCACCTCGGCCGCAGGCTAGAAACCGCCGGTCGTGGTGTGTGCAGGAGGCAACCAACCGATGTGTCTCTCCCCCGCCCGGCCATTCTCTCTAAAAAAATCAGAGGAAAAAGAGTCCTCGGGAGGGTTAACAAAAAATTTAAAAAATTGAAAAACGGGGACAGAGAAACACACACACGCGCGCACACACACAAACACACACACACAGAGAAAAACTTGTACCATGAAAACTACAAAAACAGAACTAAAAGGAACAAAAGCCACAATTAAGTGGAAAGCCATCCACCGTCCACTCCCACCTAAAGCGAACAGAGATTAAATCCAATCGGCAGCCAAATCCCACGGGTTCATTTGCAGAAACTGGAAAACTCGTCCTGAAGTCCATCTGGAACCTCAAGGGACCCTGAACAGCCAGACCATCCGGAATAAGAACAGCCACCTGGGGGCCACACAGCCTGGTTTAATCCGATGGCAAAGCCACGGTGTTGCACCAGCTGGTGCTGCGGACGGACAGACAGACAGACAGAGGCCGGTGGGACGGACGGAGCCCCGAAATCAGCCTCACCCCTGTGGTCACATGGATTCCCACCAGGGGCCACGGCCACGGCCACGACGGGAAAGGACAGTGTCCTCAGCAGATGGCACCGGGAGGACGGACGGCCACGCCGCAGGGTGAGGATGGACCCGACCTCGCACCACACACAAAGGCAACTGACCAGCATCAAAGCCACAAATCAGAACCACAGCGAGACACCCTCACACCCGTCAGGGCGGCGGCTGCTATCGAACAAAACAGGAAGCAAGCGCTCAAAAGCCACAATTAAGTGGAAAGCCATCCACCGTCCACTCCCACCTAAAGCGAACAGAGATTAAATCCAATCGGCAGCCAAATCCCACGGGTTCATTTGCAGAAACTGGAAAACTCGTCCTGAAGTCCATCTGGAACCTCAAGGGACCCTGAACAGCCAGACCATCCGGAATAAGAACAGCCACCTGGGGGCCACACAGCCTGGTTTAAACCGACGGCAAAGCCACGGTGATTGCACCAGCTGGTGCTGCGGACAGACAGACAGACAAAGGCCGGTGGGACGGACGGAGCCCCGAAATCAGCCTCACCCCTGTGGTCACATGGATTCCCACCAGGGGCCACGGCCACGGCCACGACGGGAAAGGACAGTGTCCTCAGCAGATGGCACCGGGAGGACGGACGGCCACGCCGCAGGGTGAGGATGGACCCGACCTCGCACCACACACAAAGGCAACTGACCAGCATCAAAGCCACAAATCAGAACCACAGCGAGACACCCTCACACCCGTCAGGGCGGCGGCTGCTATCGAACAAAACAGGAAGCAAGCGCTGACGGGACGTGAAGAAATTGTGACGCGCGCACCGACGGCGGGAGTGGCGAGTGGAGCGGCCGCCGTGGAAGACGGTGTGGAGGTTCCCCCAAAAATCACACGCAGCCCTGGCCGGCGCGGCTCGGGGTGGGTTCGATCCCCCGTCAGGGCGCCTACGGGACACAACTGATCCAGGCTTCTCTCTCCCATTGATGTTTCTCTCTCTCCCTCTCCACCCCCACCACCTTCCTCTCGCTCTAAACACATCAGTAAGCACGTTCTCGGGTGAGGACAGAAAGAACCAACTGTAAAACCGATTCAGTGCACATCAAACAGGACGTGTGGGAAGGTGTTTTGCTGACAACGAAGACCGGCCAGGCTGGGCAACATGGTCCTCCAGGCAGACGCGCCCGAGTGCCACGTGCGGCCACGTTCCTGCCACGTGCAGTCACGTTCCTGCCATGTGCGGCCACATTCCTGCCACACGTCCGCCTCTGGCCGCACTGTCAGCCCACCCCACCCTCCTGGCGGGGGCCCCCCTGGCCCAGGGACACATTTACCACCCACCATCTGACCCTCGCACGCACCCTCGGCGCTGGGTAGAGCTGCCCGAGGCCACGAAAACTGGCCATAAACGTGGGTGTCGTGGCCATCAGGTGACCAGATCGGGGCTGTCCTCACTGTCCGAGATCAGCATTAAAATCAAGTGAAATATGAAAATGTTTAAAAAGAGTAAAACACTGATTGGAGAGAATGCCAACCTTCAAACAGCCAGGAGCCTGGGCGGCCCGTGAGGACGGCTCTGCCCGTCCTGACCAGCGATCCCAGGCCGCCCTGCTCC